CGCGCCCGTTTAGCCCCCTTGATCCAGCCGAACAAAAGCTGTTTGGGTGTGCGGCCATGAGCACACTGCCCAGGTATGAGAAACTCTCCACTCTCTCCACAACTGCCCCATCACCGATTTGGAGTTGTGGGGGTGGATTGCCCGATGGTACAAAATATCCAGGCAGGTGCTTCGTTTTGGTGGGCTGATGATAAGGCCTCACCTCTTAGTGGCACACTCCAGTTTCAGCGGCAGTGCCTCCAACTCCTCCTCTGAGTGAGCTGTAATTACCAGATCGTCGGCATACATACAGTGAGGGAAAAAAGTATTTGATCCCCTGCTGATTTTGTACGTTTGCCCACTGACAAAGAAATGATCAGTCTATAATTTTAATGGTATGTTTATTTGAACAGTGAGAGACAGAATAACAACAAAATCCAGAAAAACGCATGTCAAAAATGTTATAAATTGATTTGTATTTTAATGAGGGAAATAAGTATTTGACCCCCTCTCAATCAGAAAGATTTCTGGCTCCCAGGTGTCTTTTATACAGGTAACGAGCTGAGATTAGGAGCACACTCTTAAAGGGAGTGCTCCTAATCTCAGCTTGTTACCTGTATAAAAGACACCTGTTCACAGAAGCAATCAATAAATCAGATTCCAAACTCTCCACCATGGCCAAGACCAAAGAGCTCTCCAAGGATGTTAGGGACAATATTGTAGACCTACACAAGGCTGGAATAGGCTACAAGACCATCGCCAAGCAGCTTGGTGAGAAGGTGACAACAGTTGGTGCGATTATTCGCAAATGGAAGAAACACAAAATAACTGTCAATCTCCCTCGGCCTGGGGCTCCATGCAAGATCTCACCTCGTGGAGTTGCAATGATCATGAGAACGGTGAGGAATCAGCCCAGAACTACACGGGAGGATCTTGTCAATGATCTCAAGGCAGCTGGGACCATAGTCACCAAGAAAACAGTTGGTAGCACACTACGCCGTGAAGGACTGAAATCTTGCAGTGCCCGCAAGGTCCCCCTGCTCAATAAAGCACATATACATGCCCGTCTGAAGTTTACCAAAGAACATCTGAATGATTCAGAGGACAACTGGGTGAAAGTGTTGTGGTCAGATGAGACCAAAATGGAGCTCTTTGGCATCAACTCAACTCGCCGTGTTTGGAGGAGGAGGAATGCTGCCTATGACCCCAAGATTACCATCCCCACTGTCAAACATGGAGGTGGAAACATTATGCTTTGGGGGTGTTTTTCTGCTAAGGGGACAGGACAACTTCACCGCATCAAAGAGACGATGGACGGGGCCATGTACCGTCAAATCTTGGGTGAGAACCTCCTTCCCTCAGCCAGGGCATTGAAAATGGGTCGTGTATGGGTATTCCAGCATGACAATGACCCAAAACACACGGCCAAGGCAACAAAGGAGTGGCTCAAGAATAAGCACATTAAGGTCCTGGAGTGGCCTAGTCAGTCTCCAGACCTTAATCCCATAGAAAATCTGTGGAGGGAGCTGAAGGTTCGAGTTGCCAAACGTCAGCCTCGAAACCTTAATGACTTGGAGAAGATCTGCAAAGAGGAGTGGGACAAAATCCCTCCTGAGATGTGTGCAAACCTGATGGCCAACTACAAGAAACGTCTGACCTCTGTGATTGCCAACAAGGGTTTTGCCACCAAGTACTAAGAGGGGTCAAATACTTATTTCCCTCATTAAAATGCAAATCAATTTATAACATTTTTGACATGCGTTTTTCTGTATTTTGTTGTTGTTATTCTGTCTCTCACTGTTCAAATAAACCTAACATTACAATTATAGACTGATCATCTCTTTGTCAGTGGGCAAACGTACAAAATCAGCAGGGGATCAAATACTTGTTTCCATCACTGTAACGTGGTTGACCAATAGGGAGCCATCCCTTGACCGCACCCGGGCATCGATCAGCCTCCCATTGTATCTGTACCAGATGGAAATTCCTCTGGTACAGATATTGAAGGCTTCACAAACTACGTGGTCAAAATAGATGTTAAATAATGTGCGAGTCAAAGGACATCTCTGCCGCACCCCAAGGTGTACAGGGAAAGGCTCCGACTCCCGGTCAAGTAGTTTTACCCGGGCCCGCTCACCATGATGAAGGTCCTTAATCATCATGAGCAGAGGATCAGGGACTCCGAAAGCACGAAGAACAACCCAGAGCCCAGGCCTACTGATGGTATCATAGGCCTTGACCAGGTCAACAAAGCAGAGATGTGGGTCTTGTTGGAATTCCCTACATCTCTGCTGTAGCAGACGGATAGGAAATATGGCATCTGTGCAGGACCGCCCTTTCCTGAAACCGCATTGGGGCTCTGCAAGCCTCTCCTCAACGTGCCTAGCAAGGCGATGTTAAATAATCCTTGCCAGGACCTTTCCCGGCACACTGAGGAGTGAGATGTCCCTGTAGTTGTTACAGTCTGTGCGGTCCCCCTTCTTAAAAGGGGGACCACCACGATGTATGTCTGAGACCCTGCTTCCTTTCACGGGCAAGATCACCTCAGCTGTACTTAACTCAACTGACTTGGTTTCAATAATCAAGGACATCTCACTGTCTCTAGATGATTTGCTTGTCAGTTTCGATCTTGTTTTTCTGTTCACCAAGGTGACTGTGCTTGACACCATTGCAATCATTGAAGACTTGGTCCAACAAGGACTGAATCTAGATGTACCAACTTTGGTAAGGCACTACCTTACCAACACTTACCTCACCTGGAATGGTACATTCTACAAACAAAATAAGGGTACCCCAATGGGTTTTCCCTTATCGCCAGTGGTAGCCAATGTTTTCATGGATAGATTTGAAACAGATGCCATCTAGACATCTACCCTACACGTCCTTCCTTGTGGAAGAGCGACGTAGATGACACGTTCGTCATCTGGCCACATGGCCTGCCAGCACTGAACCAATTTCTCAACCACATCAATTCCATACACCCGTCTATCAAATTCACAATGGAAGTGGAAAGGGATGGCAAGCTACCATTCCTGGATGTTTTGTTCAAGAAGAGACCTGATGGCTCGTTGGGACACTGTCTACAGGAAAGACACCCACGCGGATGCCTATCTTAAGCCTGACTCCCACCACCATCCAGCCCAGAATTCCCTCATCAAAAACACGACACCATACGGCCCGTTGCATCTCCGACCAGCACCACCTAGCCAGTAAGTTGGAGCACGTACACCAAGCCCTCAGGATGAACGGATACTCTGACCGTACAATCTGCAAAGCTGTCTCCCCAGCCATGGGGAGACAACCTTCTGAGCATCCAACCATAACCATTACTTACCATACATAGCAGGGGTTACCAAAAATATTTCCAAAATCTTAAACAAACACAAGATCCAGGTTCATTTCAACACAGTACCCCAAATCCGTGATTTTATCCCATCTGTAAAGGATGTGATTCCTGACATGCAATACCCTGGTGTTTCTACAAACTGAGTTGTGGTTGTGGCAGCAGTTACATTGGGGAAAGGAAACGACATGTCTCGGATCGCGTTCGTGAACACAAGGCAGATCTGAAACACGGTAGGACCAATACCTCTGCCGTTGCTGATCATCGTTTTACCGCTGTGGGCTCACACGAAATTGACTTTTCCAAGACGAAGGTACTCTGCAAACCCACTGGCTACCTTCAGAGATTTGTTCATGAAGACATCCAGATATATAAACACAGACACAACTTCAACCGAGATGGGTAAAAACTGAGCAATCATTGGAAGGACGTTATTAACCAGGTAAAGTCTTAATTGACTATGATGTTTCCATCCTACCTGCCTATGTCAGCTGTTATTTCCGACTGTCTCTCTCTCTCCCTGTGCCTCTCTCTTAGATCTCTCACATGTCCTTTGGATTGCACTCCCATGCTCACATGCCCTTTGGATTGCACTCTCATACTCACAGGTCCTTTGGATTCTACTCTCATGCTCACGTCATTTGTATTGCACTCTCATGGTGCTAATCTCTCATTAACACTGCTGTTGTGCGCATATGCGGGGATGATACTCTTATGCGGCGACGGAAGCTCATTCATGCTAATCTCCCCCATTAACACAACTGACGTGCTTGCGTCCGTGGATGGAATTCCTTTCCAGCTCAGACTCGCTTTCTTGCCCATCGCCACATAAATAACCTCTTGTTGTAACAACTCTCTCCCTGGTTCAGCAGTTCCGCTGCTGGATTATTTTTTCCGCCCTTAGGACGACCGCTTGTGTTGCGATCGAAACGTCGTGATATATTATTTTTATTTACTAATAGGGTTTTCCCCCTTTTTTATGGCAACAAAACTGACACCTTTTGCAAGGAATCATGTTTACATTAACCACAATACTTGCAGTCAAATGCAAACCAAAAACAATACTCTGAAAATATATGCATTGTCCTTGAAACTGATTGGTCCACACCAGAGTTCTGTCCATATACCCTGCAGGTTATTTCCTGGCTTTCCATACCGTGGTGCATTACGACCTAAAGATGAAATATGCCTTACAAATCTTAATTATTATTTGGTGTCTCAAGGGCACAAGTTCACGAAATGAAATACGAAATATAACTACATGCACACACACCGATTTCATCGCTCAATCTCCTCGGTAAAAGGCCTCTTAAATGCGTTCCATTTCTTAGCCGACATTCCCGTTGCGTGAATTTGTGACCATGGGCCATCGTCACCCTTTATAGCGACTGCGCCCTTTCACGTTTGACCATGAGAGATCGGGAGATGTGGATCTCCAGAGAGTATTTGGCCGCCATAAATGTCCACGTGATGATAAGCCACTTCGTTGAGCTATCATTTGTGGCCAGCTTCCGAAAAAGAGTCATATAGCTCAGTGGGCCTTACCTGGTGAATAAAAAAAGTGTAGTTTCATTGTTATAATCTTGCCCCCTGATAACAGCATTCGTTTGTTCAAATATGCGTGTAAACAACCGCAATTGCCTCCAAAGGGAATTACAAAAAAAACAAAGGGAACGAGTTAGTATCAACACGTAATTAATCACTTGTTTTATTACGCAAAACATAACGAGTACCGCTATTCAACAGCAAAAAGAACGAAAAAAACGCATCATTAATATTTCATCGTGATTTTGAAAGTGTGATTTTTAGTTGAGAATGCATTCAGGACCGTGAATCGCCATTGCATCAGATCAGTTTTTTTTGTTGTTGTTGGTGTCGCTGTGATTATAAAAATAAGTAGCATGTAGAGTAAAAGAAATATATATACCGGACAACAAAACCAAATTTTAACAATTAAGACCCGGCCCAGTGATTGGCACCAACTACCATACAAGTTTACAGCTCAAAAAACCATACAAACAACCCGACAAATTAATATCTGCACTGCATGGGTTTTTTTTGTTATGGGAGGATGATTGCACTCACCCACACCACACCAAGCGCACATCACACAAAGTTTCGGAATGTCACCATATTATTAACCACTCTGTGACTAAAAAAGTGATTTGAACGGAAAAAAATACACAACAACAACATAATTTTCAATGTTTCAACCTTTTGTTTGTTTGTCGTGGCTATAGCAGCAATCGGTTAGTGACAGCTCGTTCAACAGCACGGACGGAGAGAGCGGCGGCCCCCAAGTGCGTGGCAGAAGCTGTGTGCAGCTCTTCATTGCTGCTGCTGCTGCTCCTCTTTAAGGGTCACGAGGCAGTTACGCAGAAACTGCAGGTTGGCCTGCACGCGCGAAACACAACAATGTTAAACGACGCACGACATCGTGCTGTTTCGTCTCCTTGGCACTTTTTTTTGTGCCTGTATCATGATGATGGAAAAAAATAAAGATAAGCTTTAACCCTTTCTGGCAATAAAGATGTTCAAACACCAAATAGATATCCCTATTGCAAGACATCAAGTACTGCATTAACCATACATAAAAGATGTGTTTAACACCTGTTTTTGAGTGAGATGGTGTAGTGTGCTGAAGTAGTGACTAATTGTAACGTTTTGTTTTCGTGACAAATCTTGCTCATTGGCTGCGTAGGGTGGTGGTGGTGGGTTAACGGCACATTTATGTTTATGCGATATAATCCCAAAAAAAACCTTTGTGGATAACATTGGTCGCGAAAGCTGACTACTGTGTGTCTAAAATACATTACATTTTAATCATATTTTCGCAATACCTTCTCTTGGGAGGCGAGGATGGGTTGTATTTATGTAATACATTAAAACTTATTGGCCTCTTGCCTACCCAGTTTGAGCGAAGTCTCATGCAAGGAGGATTTGGAAAATCAACTGTGGGTCCTCCACTCTACCCCGCATTCATGATGATTAGTGAGATACCAGTTTGGTATGGAGATGTTCTGGAAAGTTCACGGCCAAGGTGTGGGAAAGAACTCAATTTACAGAAAGGAAGGTCACAATAACATGGGGTGGGGTCTCAAGGTGCCTCATCTAAAGTTACTTTAACATTTTTATTAAAAATATATATATTTATAAAAAAAACATTTTCTTCTTGTTAAAATGTATAAACAAAGTTAAAAGGCAGGACGATGCCAGGGTCAATGTGATTGGTCTCCAACTCTCATCCACTCCTGCAAGTAGTCGACTCAAGACGGTAACTTTCAGTGACGCTTACAGGGGCATAACCGTGGCCCCTTGCTCATGATCACCGCTGCGCTGTAGGTTTGGCAGGAATGCTAAATACACGTAAACACTTGTATGTATGTTGAACTTCTTTCACACCGTATGTAGCCAATCACACCGTACGTAGTCAACCGTTCTAATCGGAGGTACGGGGGAAGGACAGACTTAACACAAAAAGCAGTTCTAAAGTAACGAGTATCCCATCTAGAAAGCGAGTGTACATAATCAGTTTTCCTTCTGAGTCCGTTCCGATGATGTACACGCATGTCAAAGTGATAAAATAACTTTACCGGTACATCTTCAGGTCGGAAGATGTACCGAGGCTTCCACAAGGTCATGTGGGTGGGCGTGTGTTACAGTTTGGCACCAGCTTTTAAGGGTGCGGTTGTATTGCCACAGTTCTCTGCGGTGAGTAACAATGTCTTTAAAAACAACGGCGCTACTACGCCTCTCGAAATAAAATTAACCTTGAACCGCTTGCGCGTTCCGAGATTCGGCGGTGAACAGGACGAACACCCAGCAACTTCCAGACGTCTCAGAACGGGAAAGGGTTAAGTGGCTAACGTAGGTCACCATTGTTTTTGTGAATCGATTTAAAGAGAATGCTTCAAAAGAACTGAAATGTCGGGCGGCTGGTTTTTCCTTCTGGTCCTTCCCCTGCCACACCGGTTTGAGTGCACGACATATGTCAACCGAGAAAGGACAGCAAGAAAGCGCCGAATCCAATATTACTACACATCCAATGTTCGCACCTGCGATTAGAAATGGTTAGCTACGTACGGTGCGAAAGAAGTTAAACATACAGTTAATATATACTACAGCAAAAGCTCTGTTATCTGGCACTTTACCATCCGGAATGCTCTCTTAACCGCTGGCGTCTGTCATAGACGGCAGTACAAATATTCCTTCACGTATTTATAAAAATTCCGACAGCCATCCGGTGTCTTGCAGCGTGCTTCTCCTAGATCTGTTGTTGTTTACAGGAACTTCAGGACGCTGCCGAGTGGTGGCGCTCGCGGCAGTCTGTACATACAGTACTGTACTACTGTATACTGTACCCTAAACGGCCCCACTGCTTCTCTGCAATCAACTTAAAATGCTCTAAAATTGACTGGCGAGTACCTCTGCAAGAGTGTGTTATTTCTTATATCGCGGATAAAAGGTAGGCTTAGTTTCTTTCTTTAAAGTTTTATGTACTTGGAAAGTTTGGTGACCACAGAGCTGTTGCCCGACATCATTCTTAAAGACTTCACGGACTTTACGAACGTACGTGATTTCTGCAACCAAAATCGTAGTGGGGTTCTAATAGTGATGACCTGCACCGGGTTGGGATTAAATGTCTTGGACGAGGCGTAACCTTCGTCGTCGTGAAACGCGGGCGACAGAGTGTGTGACACCCTCTGTTAAACCTACTCAAGACAACAACTACAAGCGTCGCGAACACTCAACAGGCACACACTCACCTTGGCATGCTTAATTTCCATTTCCGTCATTTCCACCAAATTTTTTCTGAAGGCGACCACTCGCCTGGTTTTAAAGTCGATCAGTTCTGGGGAAATACAACACGAACACAACTAGAATCTTAATATTTATCGAAATTACAGGAATCTCATGAGCTATAAAGCTATTTTTACAGATGTCAAGTAGGGGCAGGTAAGAACGTTATTCAACAACAAAAAATACAAAAACACGATAGGAGTGCAAAGTATGGGAAAGGTAAACTAATCACGTAAAAAATATATACAAATAAAACTAAATGATTTTATAGTACCAGGAAAAGCCCATTGAGACATTAACTTATTTTTCAGAAGCAACCTGGACACAAATGAAAGCTCAACAGAGTGGCCCAGGAATTTACGCACCAAGTCTCAACAGTGTGGAGTTTGGGTGAGTTTTAATATTTTTTGCACGTGATGGGAAACCAGAGTGGACCCCATCCACTCATGGGAAGAATGCACAAACTCTGCAAAGACCGCCAGTCAAGTCAGAAACCTGCTTCTCCACGTACTTCTTTATGCTGATACTACTTCACTGGCTGTATTATCCAACAACCAGGATTTTAAGTGGCCCTGTTGCTCGTGAGATTTTGGCAGAGGTGGGACAAAGTCATTGTTATGCAAGTCCAAGTCGAGTCTGAAGTCATCAAATTCATGACTCGAGTCTGACTCGAGTCCAAGTCACATGACTCGAGTCCACATCTCAGAGGTGGGACAAAGTCATTGTTATGCAAGTCCAAGTCGAGTCTGAAGTCATCAAATTCATGACTCGAGTCTGACTCGAGTCCAAGTCACATGACTCGAGTCCACACCTCAGAGGTGGGACAAAGTCATTGTTATGCAAGTCCAAGTCGAGTCTGAAGTCATCAAATTCATGACTCGAGTCTGACTCGAGTCCAAGTCACATGACTCGAGTCCACACCTCAGAGGTGGGACAAAGTCATTGTTATGCAAGTCCAAGTCGAGTCTGAAGTCATCAAATTCATGACTCGAGTCTGACTCGAGTCCAAGTCACATGACTCGAGTCCACACCTCTGGATTTTGGAGGCTCGCATTGTTCTTCTTGGTTCTTTCGGTAAAGTCACGTAGAAGGGAAGTAATAAAATAATACAAATAAAACATAATAAAATTATTCTCACGACGTTTCGGCCACAACGCAAGCAGCCGTCCTCAGGTGAAAACCAGGTCCGTCGAGGCGACAGAGTCTGAATGAAACAGCACACGAGCTTGGAGCATATATATATATAGCATGCCGGATAATCGATGATCAACTGCATTATTATTATTATTATTTATACCATGTTTTGCAGACTCGGACAGCTTCTCGAATTTGTGGCAGCAGATCTGCTGGTGCGCCTCCGCCTGCTGCACGTCCTTGTTTTTGGCCCGGGCTTTATCCAGGGCCTTGTTGGCATTCTCGTAGTCGATGAGGGAGCGCGCCCGCCTGTAGAGCAGATCCTGCCGGTGCCACGCACACGGGAGTGAGCGCATCGCGTGCGTGCACACGCGGGGTTCACACAGACACCGTAACGCAGCCTCTACGCATCTTACAGACCTGTACCCTGCGCCCTGTCCAAATGCAGAACAGACCTAAACACTGCACCTTATCCAAACTAAATGCCACCGGGAATGGATCTCTCGGAGCAGGAGTTCAGCATGTGGGCGATTGTCTGACTTGGGTGATAGCCACAGTCAAAATTTGGCTGCTCCTCATACTGAATTAAACTTTTTTTATTTTACCAGGCTAGGCCCACTGAGCTACATAGCTCTGTTTCAGAAGCAAACTGGCCACAAATAATAGCTCAATGAAGTGGCTGATCATGTGGAAATTTATAGAAGCCAAATACTAAAAAAACATGTTTCTAAATGTGGAGGGGAAAAAGGAGAGGACCCAGTGAAAAATCCACACGACCACGGGGAGAACATGCAAACCCTAAATATACAGGCATCAGGGTCGGGTCGAACCCATGACTTCCTGCATACCAGGCGAGAGAGTTAACATCTCGCCACTGCGGCGCTTCAGGGGAGGGACAGAAAGGAGTGGAGGGACGAGGGAAGAGGAGAATGGGCAATAGGAAAGAGGTGAGCTGGTTGTGAGTGCACGAATGAGTGAGTGGCTGATGCGGATTCCAATGATGTTCTAGAAGGTCGAGAGAGCTAAAGTTTGGCACAAACGTAGTGAAACCTACACTTATAACCAAACTAATTATTTGGTGATGCTGCTGCTGCCGCTTTGGCAATGGTGCGCAAGCACAAACAACAAACATCAACATGATTGTCAATAAGACTGTGACCTGAAAAGGAAAAGAAGCAAGGGGCGTTGCTTAAGTGACACGTAATTTATAAACGTTTCCATTTAAGGTCACGGTGTAATGAACAAATGCATTGGGTTTTTTTTTGCTTAGAACTATAAAATCCAAAAACACAAAATCTCTGAGACATTTTTTTTCAATCAGAATCAAAATTAGCATTTATCCTGTAGAAATCCGATGAGCTATAAAACTTTTTTTTAGAGATGTCACAAATGTCCAGTAACCAAGGCCTCCAAAAGTGTGTATCTGTATGTGCTATCAGGATGATCTGGCAAGTTCTATTCTCACTCACGGCAATGCGTCCAGACGCTAAGTGCCAATGTCCGAGGCCTGCTGCTGGCCACGTCGAGAGGGCTTTAGAAGAGTGTTGGTGTCGTTTTGCTGTTCCTCCTCCGTTGGAGGTGGGCAGACCTCAGTGGGTTTACTTTACAGTCCATAGCTTGGGTTGAAGGACGGTGACCAAAGCTGCCAATGCTGCGACCACTACCACTCCTACCACTACGACGACCGTGTACTGGGTACCTTGGCCGCCTGCGAGTCCTTCATGTAGTACCGCAGCAGGTCGGAGAGCTTGAGGTCTTCATCGGACGCAACCCGACCCTCGAGTTTCTGAAATGGAGATACGAGAATCCTCTTGCACAAACCGTGGCTCCAATGAGACACCTGTTTTTTTTGTATTTGTATGAATTTTTATTTTAGTATGTTTTATTATACATTTGTATCAGTTCTTATTAAGCAATTTTATTGTTTTTGTTATATTTTTATGATACATTTTTATAATTATATGTATTTTTACGTATATATAATTTTTTTTTATCAGGATGGACACAGCCCAATGTGCAATCAGCATCGGTAATTTTGCCATCGGTCAAACGCCCGCCAAAGAAACTGGTCGACCACTATTCATTTCCCCACTGTAAAATGAAATGGGTTCAAGAACGATATTGGGTTAAAAACCGAGCACTACGGGGTTAATTTGATGTCATTCAACTGTACTTTGTGGCGGAAATCTAACAAAAATCCTACACGGTTATCCCCCAAGGCAACTCTTTTGGCATGACGGGCCCCCAATCAAGACCAGTGGTCCCCACACCGCCCCAACTCCCCAGCCCAAACAACAATGAAGGAACAATTTAGTAATGCTGTGTTGGCAGTGGTGCACAAATACCAAAAATCTCCACACATTTGTCAAAGAACACTGCGGTGGCCTTAACAAGAAAAAATATATAATAGATAACGTTTCGGGCAATGGCCCTTATTCATAGCACATAGAGAGACCAGAATCGAGATAGAGTGGATCATTGCACAGTGTGCGTGTTATTGACAAGCGTGTTGAATTTTAAAGTGAGGCCACCATATAGATAGATCATGTGTCCACACCTCTCGAGTCAACGTGTTGCTAGCAAAGCATTTTTTTTCTGTTGTCTGTTGGTATTTTGTCGACACACAACGTGGCGTTCCCTCTGCACATTCAAAATCTCTCCTGCACGGTATCCATGCCGCAGCCTGCGCCTCACACATTGAGATCTGCTGCGTTAAGGTTTTGAGGAAATGAAGCCCCATCGATTCAGTTCCGCTGCTTGAAACTGAGTGGTGGAAGACTGATCAAAGGTCACTGGCCCCGAGTGAGTTGGATTTTGTGAGTCTCCGGAGATGCTGACGACCACCGCACCATGGAGGAGAAAGCACTCACAATGTCTGCACTCATCCGCTGTGGCAGAGGAGGAAAGCAACTGGGTGAAGGATGCAGGCGGGGAGGAACAAATGGAATATGAGGCCGAATGCAAAGCTGTGCGTAGGAAATCGGCTGGCTGTGGAACGTGTGGAATTCTCTATATCTATAGGACCCTTTTACTGGAATAAAAAAATATGAAAAATAAGAATAGGTGCTATCCTTCCTGGCAATAAAACAGGTGTTAAGATGGTTAAAACACCAAATAGAATCCTTTTGCAGGCATCAAGTCTGCAAATACTTGCGGTTTAAAAATAAGCTCAAATAATATATCCATATTATTTGGTTCTTTCAGTAAAGTCACGTAGGTATAAAAAATATAATACATTTAATCACGACGTTTCGGGCGCAACACAAGCGTCCGTCATCAGGTGGGACAACCACAGCCAGAAACAATTGCTGAAGTGGGCCAAAGAGTTGCTGTAACAAGAGGCTATATAGGTAAGAGAGGGGGGAGGAGCCAGGGAGGAGAGATAGAGCACGACAAAATGCCAGGGGAGGGAGGGGATGTGAGCCCTTGAAACTGATTGGCCTACACCAGAGACAGCAGCCTTCTTTATGGCCGTGTCTCACCAGTGTTGGACCAGAGAACGCCAAAAGGCGAATAGCACAAAGACCATGCAAGTAGCAGAAGACTTGCAAAAGGAATCCATTTGGTGTTTAAACATCTTAACACCTGTGTTATTACCAGAAAGGGTAAAACATATTCTTATTTTGCATCGTGTGGAATTTTGCTAATGCAGCAGCCTGGAAGAATGCAAATGGACATATTGGCGGGACGCTGGTGCAGCATAACACACCGCTCCTCATAAAACAGTCTAAAATCTAAATTTTAATCAGCAAATCTGTCTATCGGTCTTTAATTGACCCTGTTGCCAAAGATGATGCGATTCGAAGGTTTATTCAGTCGACTGAGACTTTCTAAAAAAGGTCAACATTGACCGTTGATTTGGGTCCGTTGAATCAAGGGACCGTCCGACCAAGTCTAGGGTACGAGGAGTCAAATCTGTCTTTGGAACACGGAGCCAATCATCATCAGGCAGGGTGCTGCGATGCGGCAACAAACTGTGAAGCTTCGTGTTCAGCTGCTCATATAAACGTTCGTCTTCTGACCACTTCGACATCACGACAACTGATTTTGACTCGCACCACCCCGCAAGATTTTCTGATCGGGGTTGCGGATCTCGGGAAAATAAATAATTATTGTGATTTTACTTTATTATATCATGCACCACCAGTGTACCGCCATTACGTTCAAATGTTTTGGCGACTTAAAAGTGAACAAAATTCCAACGATATGAGACTAAGAGAATTAAAAGACACTACAGAGTCAAGGAATGAGGGTACCGGGAATGAATGAACCGACCGCTTACCCGGGTTTTCTCCAGCAGCTCGGTGAACTTGAGGAAAATTCTGCAACCCAAAAAGTCGGCCTCGTTTACGCAACGGTAAACACCAAGTCCCAAAACCTCCCTCGATTCCACCGCTGCAGGTTTGTAACCCGACCAAATTGAGACGATTGTTTTTTTTTTGTACACTTACTGGTAACAAGGATGAGGCCAGGTATATAGAAGAACACTATTTCAAAAAACAACTCGGGTGCTCCAAGTGGAAAACAAGGAAACATATTACACTTGTAGGTATGTATGTTTGTACCCTTGGGTGGTAATGGCGAATTGGGGGCAACTGCCCCGGCCCCTGCGCTTTGGTGGAACCCACACGGTGAGTGATTTGCCCCGGGCCTGTACCCCGCTAGTAGGGTCGCCCCGCCCCGCCCTGCCCACCGGGCAAGAAGAGCATCACACACCTGCTGAGGTTGGTGGGTTCCTGAGTGCCGAGCGTGTAGACCCCAGAAGAGATCCGTATGTAGTCCTCGGCCACATCTGCGTTCAGAAAAAAAACAATAAAAACGTTACTGTAACGTTATGCCTTGTGGTAACGTAAAAACACATCGATTCTGTCTGGTAACCTTACATACTTTAAGGAGTTCTCAGTACAGTGCTTTAGTTCACACGCAAAAGCTTCATGTGACAGCATTGCTCTGCATCCATGGAGGAAGTGACGCCCTGCCACGCCCTAGCACTTGTCCTTATATGCTGTGTGTATTGTGGGGAGCGGTGGTGCAGTGGTTAGCGCTCTGCACGACGAACTCGGAGACCAGAGTTCGATTCCCACTCACAGCCTAACACCAGTGACAATCATGTGAACCGGTACTGGGCATCCCCTAGGTCGACTCAGCCTCAAATGAGTATCTGGTGAGGTATATACATCGCCACAAGGGAGACAAAGGCAGCCAGGCATGGTTATGGCCATCCACCCCCTCATGTGCCGGGCCGGCCTTCGTAGGCGCTCGCTAACAGCACTTGCCTCAACAGTATATTAAGGCTAGATGGCGGATATTTGAATATTCATGAGCACACCTTACATGAATATGCATACCATGTTGCATCATGCCGACATGAATATCCATAAGCATGCTCCGAGCCGCAGTTTCCGGCTTCGTCGCCGGAATCACACTCGGCGTCCCACCACGGCGGGGAAGTGCAGTAGTTAACATTTCAATCCGTTCCGCGAAAAACTACCGTTAACCGATATAACTGTTAATTGAATTCACTTATCAGTTTAAAATTAAGTAAAGATCACCGAGTCTGCAGGAGAGCTGTTTTCACTGTGCAAAACAGAAAGCGTATAATGTAAATTGAAAGCCAGTCAAGGTTTAAACACTCATAAATTGGCACCACTTATGAGTGCTCGGATTCGCCAAGATTGGCACCCGTGTGTATATAACGTTCATGTCCCCTATGGGAGGTGAAACATTTACCGAAAAACCATTAACCCATGTCACTGTTAACCGAGGGACATACTGTGATGGATGAAAGTGATCACTCACTCTTGTGCGCGCGCGTCATCTTGTCAGCTTTCATGGTGGCGTCCTTAATCCTGCCGTGGTACTCGAGGATGAACGTCTTTTCGTGGTCGAAGAATTCATCTACATCCTGAAAACATCGGCGAGCGCGTCATAACGTGTCACGACGTCGCATTATCTCCCCCCCCCCACTTCCTACCCCCCGGTACACACAAGTCTCGCCACCTTGTACGGCGTCCTGAGATGCAGGCACATTGAGACCCAGCGCAAATACACAACTTCACAAATTATATGGTGATGCTGGCACTGCTGCTTTTGGCATTTGTTGATATCGCGGCCTTAAAAATAAAAAGTATACAATAGGCGACGTTAAGGGAAATGGATCTTCTTCATGGCACACAAGAGAGAGGCCACTACCTCTCTAGCCTCTCTCTGTGTGCCATGAAGAAGGGCCATCACTCAAAACGTCGTCTATTACATACTTTTTTTTAAAACTAAATGTTAATGTATTCATTGTGCTGTCAGCATTGTGACATTTCCATTTAGAACTCTAACAAGCAGCACAACGGCCATGGAAGATGATTTTCCAAAATTACTTCTCAAGGTCACTTCAAGATGTTTTGTTATTAAAATGCCCCTTTTTTTAATCACAAAACTGCTCCGATGTGCTGTTTCTCTAGCCCTCCAGCTCGCTAGCTCAATGGGCCTTCCCCTGGGACACCAAAAATAGAATATTTGAATAATTCCTTGCTCAGATGGCCAAGCGGTTGTCAGAGAAATGTCATACAACAAAATTGTAAAACAAAATGACTTGAACTTTTCTCCGATTTGCTGAATAACAAAATCATTAAACTATTCATAACTACCGTTACTTTTATAATTTGCCAGGTAAGGCACACTGAGCTTTGTAGCTCTTTTTTAGAAGCGACCTGGCCACAAATGATAGCTCAATGAAGTTGCTTATCACATGGAAATTTCTAGCAGCCAAATACTCTAAATGCTTGTTCTAAATATGTAGAGAAAACCCGGAGAACCCGGAGAAAAATCTACGTGACTACGGGGAGAACATGCAAACTCCAAATACATAGGCGTCAGGGGCGGGATCAAATCCACGACCTCCTGATAACCAGGCGAGGTAGTTAACATCTCGCCACCACCCCGGAGAATAGGTCCACAAAGACGGGGTCAGCATCTGCACAGCTCATCATTACTCACGGCAATTTGGCCGATCCCCGATAAAGATACGCCGGCATAAAAACAAGTTCAGCAAAAAATCACGGCTTTCCAATACACACGCTCGCGTTCACAAGAGTTGATTAAAGCGCAGACACTGGCAAAGTTACCCATCGAGGGCAAAACATGTTTGCGTATTCACAATGCGTAGCTGTTACGCGTTTTCATATTTACAGAGCGTGTTTGGCCTAACCCTGTCTCCTTCCGTACCTTTGTGCCGGCAATGAGGACCTCGTCTGCTGTCTTGACCATATTCTTGAGAAATCCGCCAAACTTCTCTTTCTTGTTCTTTCCGCGCACGCTCAACTGTGAAAACCCCAAACCGATGTCACCACGCCCAGTGTCAGCAGCTCGTTTGTCCAGCACCATTCGAATTCCACACATCGCACTCTAAAGGTCCCTTTTGATCGAAAAGTGGTAAGCGATGCTGACGTCTCTGAGCTGGCGACGGAAATTGCACATTACCATGACGGACATTGGTCTATCAAACGGGATGTCCCTTGTTGTGATTTTCACAAAGCGGTAAGTATTTTATCAACCCCAAATAGCATGATAGCATGATGGGCTGAGTGAAAACCCCATTTGAGACATGGCACTTGTGAGTGGTTGACTATACCCCTCACTGTGTCTGGTGTGGACCAATCCGTTTCAAAGACAATGCATTTATCATCAGAGTACTTTTTGGTTTGCATTCTGACCACAAGTATTGTGGTTAATGTAGACATGATTCCTTGTAAAAGGTTTCAGTTTGGTGTTTTAACATCTAAACACCTGTTTTGTTGCCAGAAAAAAGGGGAAAACCTATTCTCATATTTTGGTACTGGCAAAGGAGGTCACATGATATACCACTCAGCACATAAATGTGTGGAAGCATTCGTCAAATAATTTCCAAGAAGAAAAACCCCACTGCCTTCTTAGCCGACTCCACAAAAACTAACCTTTTTAGTTTACCAGGTAAGGCCTACTGAGCTATGTAGGTCTTTTTCTGAAGTGACCACAAATGACAGCTCAATGAAGTGGCTTATCACGTGGAAATTTATAGCAGCCTCACACTATAAGCACATGTTTCTAATTGTCAAGGGAAAAACCGGAGGATCTGGAGAAAAGTCCATGTGATCACAGGGCGAGAGCCATGCAAACTCCAAATATACAACAGGTGATCCTCCTTATGGTGGTACCCCGGGGTACCAAACAATACAAAATGGCCGAGGCAATTAAATATTTGATTTCTGGGACACTATTTTTTTCAGGGGTGTACTTAACTCCGCGACTGGGGTACCAATCCGAAATCAGTGCTACTCTGCGATGTCTAAACGCCAAACATTAGCATGAAAAATCCGTTATCCAAAAATTCTACTTTAAATAGTGCATCGTGTACAGCTCGTCGAAATGAGTCGATTGCCGCATCGCCGACCATCAACAGACTAAAAATGCCTGCATCATCACGGACATTGTGCAAGAGCCGGGGGACTATGGTACCCCGGGGTACGGCCATAAGGTTCAGGTATCAGGGTTGGGACCGAACCTACGACCTCTTGCATTGCAGGGCGAGATAGTTAACATCTCGCCACCGTGGCGGCCGTCAAACCCTCTCTGCTTAGCCAGGACGTAGTAGAGCAGGACTCCCTCCGCAGGATGCCATGGGGATGAGAACTCACGTCCTGATCGTACTCCAGGAAGACGTGGAAATTGTGGTCCTTGCGTAACAGAGGGTGCGCGGCGAGGCGGCACAGGAACACCTCGTGCATCGCCACCGTCTTCTTGAAGATCGCCAGATACTCCCTACGGAGAATACCAGCGTTGAAATATTTGAACGTTTACATCACACCGGTGATTCTCTTAACTGTCTTTGGTGTGGAGGGAACGCATTGCACACCAAATAACTCCCCACCCACCCTTAGGCCACAATACATGGATCACAAGTCCACTCCGTTAGTCAACGCGGTGTTAGTAAGGCATTTGTTGCATGTTATGTACCTGTGCTTTGTGTTAGGAAGGTGTGTTTCTTGTTGTGATCCAGAGGGTTTTGTGCGAGCCATTTGCTTCAGATTGTGAAATTGAGTTGTGTTCTTAAGGAATTTAGTTCAACACTGTGTATGAATGTGTTTTGTGTTAGTAGGGCGTAAGTTTTATGTTGCGTATTATTTATTTTGTCTTGCGTTTTGAGAAAGCTGGCGAGGATTGGGCAAAAACTTTGCTCACTCTTCACCCAGGTAACCGGACAGCACAGGCCAGGTATCTGTGTGCTTGTGTCAGTAGGGCATTTGCTTCCTACTGTATACGAGTGGGTTTTGTTTTAGGCATTCCCCACGCGCAAATTGGAAATTTCTTCTGCACGGTACGCATTCCGCAGCCCGCACTCCCACCCCGTAAGACTCACATATAGAAGCACCGCATTACAGTGATTCCCTCTGAGAGAGCAGTGTGGAGTGTTTTAGAATTACAGCAAGAGCTCTGTTAATCGGCATTCCATGGGGAATGGAGAGGGTGCCGGTTAATCTGAGAGTAAAAACTTACGGTTCACCAAATTTTCAAGCACATAAGACTTTCAAAAATAAACTAAGCGTACACTTTAACTGTGATATAATAAATAATATACTCTTTCACAGAAGCACTCGCCAGTCAGTCGTAGAACATTCTTGATTTGAAGCTTTCGTGACTGCAGGAATCCATACTCTTTGATTCTATCGGTAACAAACACAGCAGGAGAACTGCTGACTTGTTGCAGCAGCTCTTTCTCCTATGTCAGCAATTCTTCTGTTGTGTTTGTTTCACCTGATGACGGTTGCTTGTGTTGCGATCGAAACGTCGTGATCTATAAATGTTATATCTACGTGACTTTACTGAAAGAACCAAAGAGTATAGAACATTCTTAGTTGATTGTAGAGAAGCAGTGGGGCCGTTTAGGGTACAGAAGACAGTAGTACAGTACTGTATGTATAAACTGCTGCTAGCATCCTGAAGCTCCCGTAAACTACAACGGATCTACGAGAAGTGCACGGCAATACGACGGACGGCTGTCAGAATTTTTCTGCATACACGAAAAAATTATTTTGTTGCCGTCTATGACAAGACGCCGGTCTGTCATTGAGCCTTCCGGATGGTAAAGTGCTGGATGACGGAGCTTTTGCTGTGCATTACAGTGGCCTTTCGGCTGTGCGCTGCTGCTGTCACAATCACAATCACAAGGCGGCGATCATCGTCATCATCGTTGTTGTTATCACTTCAATGCAGAAGGGTCGCCGTGACTCACGCCTCAAGCTCCTGCTTCATCTTGGTGAACTCCTCCTTGGTCATCGTGCCCTCGCCCTCCCCCAGCTTCTGCAGCTTCTCCCGGGAGGCGTCGAAGTCTGGCCTCGGAGGTGCCGGCGGGATCTTTTGGGCCCACGTGGGGTAGACAGAGCAAAGGACTGAATAAAAAGATCCATGTGCTCGGTCGCTCCTGTATTAAACAGCGAATCGTATTGAAAGTTGCAGGAGGTAATAAGGTGTTGTAAAGGCCTTGTTAACCGTGTGATATGCATCCCCCCACAGACAGAACGTGCAGCTCTTAGCCCTCTCATGTGTTAATCACTCCCCCCCACCTCCTCCACATCGCAAATTATAGCTCAAAGAATTGGCTTGTCGTGTGGAAATTTATAGCAGCCAAATACTCTAAATGAGTCAAATTGAGTCTAAATACGGAAGAAAAAAACGGAAGACCAAGAGAAAAAATCCACACGACCACGGGGAGAACATGCAAATTCTAGATTTGAAGCTTTCGTGACTGCAAGGATTCATACTCTTAGGTTTTTTTGGTAAAGTCACGTATGTAAAAATAAATAATAAACATAAATAATAAAATAGAAATAATAATAAATGTATAATTTTATTTCTATTATTATTTCTATTATATTTTTATTATTTATTTTTACCTACGTGACTTTACCGAAAAAACCTAAGAGTAAGAACATGCAAACTCCAAATATCAAGGCGTCAGGGTCAGGATCGAACCCACGGCCCCTTGTATAGGAGGCGAGGCAGTTAACATCTTGCCACCGAAAAGTCTGTCCAACCCCTGTAAAATCCCGCACAAAGAGCGCTGTGACCTATAACGCCAGACTGTACGCTTATTGCTGGAATGTACCGAGCGTCAGAAATGTGAACAAAGTAAATCTTAATGACAAAAACAAATGGCCTGATCCAAGGCAGCAGCGGTGCTGACGTACGATTATGCCGGCGTATTCCTCGTTCTCCTCGTAGGCGTCGTGAAGCCAGATGAACTCCTCGTGCTGGCGCACGACCGAGAACTCCCCTTGCTTGAAATAGGGCAGGGTGGTCTGAAGCGCGCACACCGCAGTTGCGTCACAAACGTTGAGGGGGATCTTGAAATCATCAATCATCCTCAAGCAAACGCGCCTCATCTGATTACGCCGTCGTTAGATGTTTACGCCTTCATTTTATGATGATAATGACTTATTTTCCCAGGAATAAAAATAATAATTTCAACTCGGAGGCACAAGGAAGCACAATTGGCAAAGCTTTGCAATCTTACCTATATATGTAAATATGTGTTTATGCATGTGGGAGGAAACTGGAGCGCCAGCAGAAAACACATGCATGCAAGGGGGCAACACTCTATCCCACTACAGATGATATTCATCTGCACAATGCTGCACTGCATTCTCCTGCGGAACCAGGGTATGGCACCTCCTCAACGCCCAACGGAAATACAGTTTCGCAATATTTGTGCGATCCAAAAAACCCTAATTATGATCATCAACGCAATACAGATCGGCAGCGCATATTTGACCCGCTGGCAACTTGAGTACAGGCCGGGAGTTGGTAACCTGTGGCTCCGGAGCCGCGTGCGGCTCTTTCAGGGCTGTTTCGTGACGTTATTTATTTAGGACCACCGTCTCGTGTTCAGATGCATTCTGGCTCTTGAAATATAAAATAGTTTTTTACCGAATTCTAAAAAATGCCTCTCCTTGTTATTTAGCTTGCAGACCCCCTGGTATAACGGATAGGTTTAAATGTCGGATACCTCCGATTACCACGATTGGCTACAATACGGTGCAAAAGAAGTTCAACACATGTACATACACACACACACGTTACGTACCTTAGTGTGAACGGTGAATTTCACTTTGTCCCTCTCGCTCAGAGCATCCGAGATGTCCACCTGTAGTGTGGCATCCGAGTGCAGGTCCACAGACACCGACCGCAACTGCTCCAAAAACACGCACAGGAGACAAGCAGCACGAGCGTCGGCGCGGTTACAATGCTGGGCCCCAGTGACGGACTGCGGCTAAAAATCGGGCCCAGACATTTGGAAACCACACTGGTCCCAAATTCGGGCTATGGGAGTGAGCGAGATGTTTAGATGTGACGTACAGTTGTGTTAGCGTGATGTTTTGCAGTGTGAACCTCATTTGCCCAATTTGGGGCTGGCTCCAAAAAAACACAAATGGGGGAGGTCGGTGAGGAAGAATCTTTGGGTGCTGCCGAATATGGTGGGAACTTAATGGAAAATTAGAGCGTAAATAAGCAATGAAGCGTACACATTAGACCAGTGGTTCTTGACCTTTACTGCATCCTTGCGCCCCTTTGGTGCTAAATCGTTAAAACATCTATAATCTTTATAAATATATAAGTTTGATGAAACACAGTAGTTGTACTTACGTGCCCGTGCTTAATTTGTCTTTCGAAGATTTACCTTCTAAAAAAATCTGGAATATCTCGCACCCCCAGGGGATGCGTGCACCCCAGGTTAAGAACCACTCCATTAGAGGTAATACAATATTTTAATACAATTTTTTATGTTTTTTACTCTGATCACATTTGCAATTTCCCCACACAAGACGCCCCACCGGCCCTCAGAATGGACCGGCGCATTTCAAGTTGAAATCATTATTATCGAGATAATAATTATCTTTGTCAAGCTATCAGTTGGGTTTACAAGTGTAGAGGAGTGAATACACGGTGCGCACAGTTAACCGGAGGCAACCGAGGGCAAACAGGTGCGCGTGTGCCAGAGGTGTGGATTCGAGTCATGTGACTTGGACTCGAGTCAGACTCGAGTCATGAATTTGATGACTTCAGACTCGACTTGGACTTGCATAACAATGACTTTGTCCCACCTCTGAGGTGTGGACTCGAGTCATGTGACTTGGACTCGAGTCAGACTCGAGTCATGAATTTGATGACTTCAGACTCGACTTGGACTTGCATAACAATGACTTTGTCCCACCTCTGGCGTGTGCAATATGAGGTTTGCACGGACAAACCGCCAGTTGTTAAGGGGCGAAGCAGGTGCAAATGGGGTCGACAGGTTGTGCACGTTGAGACCGGAGGTGTTGCCAGGGTGACGGGAGATGAGGGTAGATTGATGGGCCAACAGGCGCCGGCCTGGCGAGAGCTTAAAGAGACGCACGAGAGGTCTCGGATAATTAGCAGAGGGATATAAGGGTGTGTGCGTGAGCAGAGAGGGGGTGGTTGACAAGGATGAAGAGTGAAGACATCTCGCCACTGCCGCTCCAGTCGTCAACGGGACCTCAACCCTCACGCTGTCACCGGGCGGGTGTTGGCTGATCCCCCCTGCCCGGGACAGATGGGTGAGCAGGTCTGAGGGAGCGTAGGTGAGGGCAGCGGTGGGGATGTAGAGTTCCTGTGTGTGAAGATGCTGTGTGCGGAGTCGCTGTGTGCGGAGTCGCTGTGTGCGGAGTCGCTGTGTGCGGAGTCGCTGTATGCGGAGTCGCTGAGAGCAGAGCTGCTGAGTGCAGGATAAGTGAGGTGAAAGGTAGATAAGAGTGGGGAGACGTTAAACATAAGTGACCGTAAAGATAGCTATAGGTATGCCTACAACTGGTGCAAGAATAGATGAATAAAGTGTAAGCAGGTGACTTGTTACAACGTGTCGGTGTGAGTCATTGCTGAAGACACTACACAAGCATCTGGATTTGAACATGTGTGCACACCTCAGCAAGGTGATGTGCTACATTGTGTGCAAAGCTTAAATCCATAATAGAGGTTTTTGGGTTAGATCGCGTCAATATATAAATGTGTCGTTAAAACCCGACACTACCCGACACAGCTAACTAGTAAGGGTTGTCACGTAAACAGAACATGCCAATTCGTCACTAATACAGCACACCGGTGTGTTGGAGAGACAAGCCACAACATTTACAAACTTAAGTCTTAAGACTTCTCCACAAATCTGGCTGTCGCCTGATGAAGCTAGTTGTAATTACTGGCGAAACGTCGTACTCAGTAAATATTGTGGCTTGGCTCTCCAGCACACCGATTTGTGCTGTACTAGTGACGAATTGGCATGTTGTTTACGTGACAACCCTTACTAGTTGGCTGCGTCGGGTGGTGGCGGGTTTTAACGACACATTTATATATTTACGTGATCTAACCCAAAAACCTCTATTATGGATGATATTGGTCGTGAAAGCCTACGTGTTAAATCTTAAATCGCTTACACTATACTCTAAAAAAATATGTAACTGTGTGTTTGGTAGGTGTTAGGGCAGCATTTCTCAAACATTTTTGGCCCGCCTACCACTCAGCTGATGCAAACATTTCCACGGATCACCCAGCCCCCACTCCTGGTGATAAAACGCATTCACTTCTCTCTCAAATACCAGAAATACAAAACGATTCGTATTGCCAGAACATAATATTTTTTGTATGTAGTTATAAGGTTTTATTTAGGGGGGGCATTTATATTTTACTAGCGGGAAGTACCCGACATTGCCCGGGCTAAAAATATATTTCTAAGCTTCTCTTAAAAACCTTACATATACATACACAAATATTGTGAAAGCCCGGTGGGCCCTTTGTCCATTTCTCCACCAACAAAATGATAAGAGGCTTGCACAAGCGCAAAAAGTTATAGAAAGTGGTGGGTAAATAGTTCATCTAAAAGGTTTCTGAAAATTGTCGACCCCCCCTCCTCAAAAAATATCTTTACCCCCGCGTAGGTATATATACCTACACACCCTACATACAACAGAGTAAGTAGTATCTATTGACTCTGTAGTTGTATCTACTGACTGTACAGTAGTATCTACTGAGCCAGTAGTAGCTACTGACTGTTTAGTAGTATTTACTGACTGTAGTAACTACTGACCGAAGTAGTATCTACTGGCCCTACAGTAGTATCTACCGACTCTATAGTAGTAACGACGAACTGTAAAGTAGTATCTGCTGACTCTATAGTAGTATCCACTGACTATAATAGTGTAGAGGTGTAATTGCGCATGGCTACGAATGTTGAGGTGTGATTATGCATGGCCACGGATGGCCAACAAACACAGGGGGCGGGGTTACGGCCGTACACAAGGGTGGCGCTCGCACCGACGTCCGCATGTGTATCCCCCACGGGCCCCCCCTCGGGGGCGAGTCCTATAAAAGGTGATGAGCTCGAGGGCTCGAGGTCGAGACTCAGCTTTAACCAGAGAAGACGGAAGACCTGCTAGTGTAGGCCCCAGAGCTCCCCTGGCTCGCTGTCCTTATAAGGGCCGACCAGGGCAAGCCGGTGGCGTGGCCCCGAGAGCCCAGACGAAGCTGGTCTGGTGACTCAGGGAGCCGGGATCCCAGCTTAACCAAGCTGGGACAGATAGCCTCCCCTAGTCCCGTAGTGGAGGAATTGGTATAGGTTAGAGGGGTTAGCTGTCGAGAAATCCCTGTAGCCAAGTGACCTGTAATAACTGTGTTGGTGTAATAAATAAGTGTGCCTCCGATCATGTCGTCAAGCCTCCATATACTTACTACAATAGTAACGACTAACTATAGCCGTATCTACTCACTCGATAGTAGTATCTACTGACTCGAGTAGCTACTCACCATAGTAGTATGTACTGACTGTATAGTAGTATCTACTGACTGTAGCAGTATTTACTGACTGTAGTGGTATATACTAACTGTTTTAGTATCTACTAACTCTATATAGCAGTATCTACCAACTCGATAGCTGTATCTACTATCACTACAGCAGTGCATACCGACTGTGGTGGTACCTGCTTTCACTACAGCAGTGCATATTGACTGTGGTGGTATCCTGCTATGACTACAACAGTGCATACCAACTTTGGTGGTACCTGCTTTAACTAAAGCAGCGCATACCCACTGTGATGGTTCCTGCTATCACTACAGCAGTGCCTACTGAATGTGGTGGCACCTGCTATCACTACAGCAGTACATACCGACTTTGGTGGTACCTGCTTTCACTACAGCAGTGCATACCCACTGTGGTGGTACCTGCTTTCACAACAGCAGTGCATACCGGCTGTGGTGGTACCTGCTTTCACTACAGCAGTGCATACCGGCTGTGGTGGTACCTGTATGATTACAGCTGTACATAATGACTGTGGTGGTACCTGCTATCCCTACAGTAGTACATAATGACTATGGTGGTACCAGCTATCCCTACAGTAGTACATGCTGACTCTATAGCAGTATATATCAGCTCTATAGCACAAACTACTAACCTGACAGAGTGGCATAGTGAGGCCGAGTCCCATGCAGAGCCCCCGGCCTCGCCTAGATTGACCAGCCGGCCGAGGCTGGGAACTGGACCGCTACCCCCGCCCACCATCCCCCTGCCTGCGCTACAATAATACTATCTAAGCGCTATATTAGTATCTACCGACCCTATAGTAGTAAGTGCACACATTGGGGTGGGAGGGGAAGAGAAAAGGACATGACACTTCGATGAATTTCCATCAGCGTTGCGTGTATCTTTTTGCATTTTGAACGCAAATGAGAAATCCCCCCCACCCTCCACCGATGATGGTGCGTGCGTTGCCAGGGGCAACCCCCGGGCAGCTTGAGCGGGGTGGGGAAATAAATAAAGAGAAATCGCACAAAAACGCTATTTTAACTAATTTAAAGGTGACGAATGGGAAAAGGAAATAGTGCTTGCCCACCGGGGGCTAATTTTTTTTCACGTAAACCCCACCATTCGAGAGCCAAATCCCTCGCAAGCGTGCGTGCGCAGACAGACAGACAGACGGACAGACAAAGAATGCCTTTTATAGGTAAGATGACTAGAGTAGTTTAAACAGGGTAGTTTACCTAATTATATATTTGTGTTATTAATTAAAAGTCAAATATGAATTCACGCCTGAAACCAAAAAGGTATAAGCATTGTCATTATAGTCCGAATCAACTTATATTTGCATCACAGCCCCGCGGATCAACCACCTGGAGGACCGTCGTTGG